ACAAATGTATTCCTTAAGTACATCTTATCTTCATTTTCCTTGGAAAACCTATATTCAACCATTTGAGTTAATACTCAGTGGAAACTAAAGTTGATCATTCTCTTCCATCTTATAGAAGATAACACTCAACTATTACTAACACTTAAGCATAAAAACCAAAGTTCCTAAGCACTATAACTATATGGAATACAACTATTTTACTTCATTTCGCAAATGTTGCTGGTACTTAACCATGTGCCAGACATTACAAATTACTTCTACTGAATTTCCATTAAAGTCCTCACATGGGTCCATTATTTCTATCATTTTTGAAAACACACAAGTGATGAAAATTCTTATAACTCCCATATCAATATCATGTGGTCAATGTCCACAGGTCAAGTTCAAACTCCAAAGCAAGACAGATTACCAAGAGACCCACAAAGGGGCCGGACACAGGAAAGAGGGTCCATCTGGTTGCAGCTCGTTGGGCCAGGCCACCCAACACAAATTCCCTTTCAATTCCCTCTTCCAGACCCTCTTTGCCCCCACCCACACAACCCTGGGTGCATTTTCAGCAGCACTCACCCTAGGACTTTGTCCAGCAGGTTCTTCACCTCAGTACTCACAGTTTGTAGAGACCAGGAAGGGCACTGACTGCAGCTGGGGAGATGCAGGAAGTAGGTGTGAAAAGTCCAGTTTCACTTGAAGAGTCAAAGGTGAAGGACAAATGCAAGAGCTCATGGATGCCAGGCCTGGGAAGAACCTCAGTGTCTAATGTACCATCCACTGTTTCCTCTCAATCCTCCTCCACAACTTTGTAACTTACTGCACCATGTACTAATTTCTTTCCTATTGCCAATCTCTCCCCCACTAGAACATATACCCTTTTAAGGGCAGCATTTTTTCTGGTAAGGAAAATATTGAAGCAATGTCCCCGCAGTCTAATTGAAAAGGATCATATTATGATTTGGACATAAAGTGAAAACTGTTAATGTAGAATGATTCAAAGGTGAAATGATTACACTTAGAGCTGTGACCTAAATCAGTTCATCTTATTTTGAATAGAGTAATTGAGTGGTAATCATACACAAGTGGGGTATGATTGAAGGAAGTGGGTCACTGGGTACCTATCTGGAATGGGTCTATATTCCCTATGTCCTCTTTCCCTTCCCCTCTTTCTGTCTCCTGACCAACATCAATGGGGCAGCACTCCTCCATCATGCCCTTCCGCCATGACATTCTGCCTCATTTTGGGCCCAGAGCAATGGAGTATGTCCACCATGGATTGAACCTCTGAAACTAGTTTTCTTATCATGTACTTTGTAGTTAATGACAAAAACCTGACTACACAGGCCACAAGCCTTGTCTAGGGGAGGTCAAGGATACAGGAATGCACATACTAGAAAATGCCTCCTTGGAGGGCCAACTAGTAAATAATTCTGCCTTGTAGGTCATCCAGTGTGCTCCACTACTCAACTCTGCTCCTGTGCCAAGAAAGCAGCCATGACTGTGTTCCAGTGAAACCTTACTTAGAAAAACATGTGGCAGGCCAAATTTGATGCACAAAAAAACCATGTCCTAAATGAAGTAAAGTTCAAGTACACAGAAAAATGCCATCATTTAATTGGGTGGATCTGTCAAACAGAAACAACAATGGAAGAGGTTTTAATAAGTCTAACAGTGACACAAAAACCTGAAAATAATGCCCCAGGCTGGGAGTGGTGGCTCCTACCTGTAATTCCAGCAGCTCAGGAAGCTAAGACAGGGGGATTGTGAGTTCAATGCCAGCCTCAGCAACTTATCGAAGTCCTAAACAATTTAATGAGACCCCTGTCTCTATGTAAAATATTAAAAAGTGTTGGGTAGGTGACTTGGTAGTTAAGCACCACTGGGTTCAATCCTCAGTACCTAAAAATAATAATAATAATAATTAAAAGGTACCACATTGTTAGCTAGAGACAGGACCACAAATGTAAACATTAAGAACCTGAATCGAACCTGAATCTAATATCAACCTCACAGCCTCAGGAACATATTTTGTAAGGTCAACACCCACTTGAGTTAATAAGGTCAACACCCAGTTAAGAGTTTAACACAGGTACAACTGAATTTTAAAACCAAACTCATGGTGGAGCTAATGGACACAAGCTTTCAGGGACCAGACAGGAGTACTGAAGAACATTTCTACTACCTGATGATACCTGCACCAATTACACAAAGTAGAAAATAAAGAAGAAAGAAAAAAAAGAAAATGAAAAACCATCATTTCTCATTCTCATGAAAATCATTAGAAAAATCACTGAATCAGCAATAACCTCATATAAAAGTCCCTTTCAGGGCTGGGATGCAGCTCAGTTGATAGAGTGGTTACCTTGCATGCACACCATGTTGGGTTCAATTCCTAGCACCACCACAAAAAAAAAGTCTCCCTTTCACAACAGACATAAAATATTTAAATCCTTAGGAACAAACAACATAAAATATATGCAGCTCGGGGTTGGGATTGTGGCTCAGTAGTAGCGCACTTGCCTAGCAGGAGCAGGACCCAGGTTCAATCCTCAGCATCACATAAAAAATAAATAAATAAAAGCATTTTGTTGTATCCATCTATACCTAGAAAATAAATATTAAAAAAATATGCAGGCCAAACTTCAGTAAGGGGCACATGTGCTGACTGCAGGGAACACATGCCCTGCATGGGTCAAAAAAACATTAATTTTGGAAACAAGATGTCATAATGAATGTTAATTTTAATCAATATCACAAACATTGGGAGCAAGATAAAGTTGTTGGAAAATATATTTGAAGAGGTATGGGAAAGGGGGCCAACCTTGTAAAGACTAGCTGTGATATGTGGGAAGCCAGAGTGAATGCTTTGTCTATTTCTGGACCCCACAGTCCTGCAGGCAGGAGCAACCACACTTTTTTTGGTTGGAGGGGTGTGGTGAGGGCAGTGCTAGGAATGGAACCCAGGGCCACTCTATCATGGAGCAACACTTGTGGCCATTTTGATTTTGAAACAGCATTTTGTAAGTTGCTGAGGCTGGCATCCAACTTGCAAATTTTCTGCTTAAGCCTTCCCAGTCACTAGAATTATAGGCATGGGCAACCAGGCCAGTCAGGTTCTTCTTCTAAGAAATCATTTTCTCCGCCCACTTACTCTACAAAGCTCCTGGGTAGCCTTTTCATACTCCAGAATTACAAAGGCTTGGAATAATGGCATCTTCTGTCCACCTGGTCATGGGTTGAGCATGGAACCAGGGCAGAGGGTGGCTTGGTTTTGGTGCTTGGCCATACGTTATGTAAGTATAAAATATTTTTAAATACTTCTAAATGTTTGATGTTTTGGAGAGTTTTCCCTTCTTGTAAGAGCATGTTGTGTTGCCAGACCTTATATGTCTCATCAGACTCCCCACGTGTCAGCCACTGATCTAAACTACTGAGCTTCAGAAAAATCTCAACTCTATAGTTTTTCCAGACACCCTGAGAGCTTAGGTTAAGGTAGGGCCACCTCTGTCATGTGAAAGACCATGACACTTCTCTGAAAGCCTGGAACCAAGAAGTGACAAGGTCTCATCACCTGCAAATTAATCTCAGAAGCCTCATCCACCAATACCACCTGTATCAACTAGCAATAAGAGACCTTACCTGTTATCCTGACTGTCCACCAAGGTGGTCAAGCTGGCTTCTCCAAGAACTGCCCCTGTACAGGAAAATCTCAGCTTCAAGGACACTTTACTTTTCACAAAGCCTTTTTCCATATTAATTGAACAGTGGGCTTTAAGAATTTTGGAAACCATTAATATGTGGATAAAGTACTTCATCTACCAGCAGTATTCTATGAAGATTTTTCACATTATTCTCTCCCCTCTGAGCATGTAAACCTACACAACAATTTTCACTGTATTTCAATAAACTCTGATTCAGCAAATCATCTCCTCATTTCTGTCATATACAACAAGTGGCTGCCAGCAGGATTTCATAATCCATAGAGGTAAATGATTGAACAAGGTTCAAATTTTAATTATAATTTTAATGAAAGCATAGAGAATACAAATTGCATAGCATTCTTCTTCATGCTCAATATTCCACTGTATTTTCAACTTGATGACCTGGGAAGAATTTCTAAAAGTGGCAAAAACTATAAGAATTCTGTGCCATGCTCACAAACACTTCTGTCAAATTAGTTGAGTAGCATAAAGCTGTTTTCAATATAACTTGTGATATGTGCACTACTCAGTACCTTAAAATGATGGCATAATTTTTTTTTGACCAGTAAGCATATAAATTACTATTCTTAGTCTTTTCATTTTGAAATTTTGAAACTATTCTCTATCCTAACAAGCTAGAAAATTTGAATTGCTTATATATTTAGGTAACAGGAATTAAACCCAGAGGAACTCAATCACTGAGCCACATCCCCAGCCCTACTTTGTGTTTTATTTAGAGATGGGGTTTCACCAATTTTTTGGACATCCCTAAGTTGCAAAGCATGGCTTTGAAGTCATGATCCTACTGCTTCAGGCTCCTCAGCTGCTGAGTTTATGGGAATGCACCACCACATGCAACTAAATTACCAAGTTTTAAATACATGGTATACATAAAACAATAGGTTGGAAGCCAGGAAGGGTGGTATGTGCATGCAATCCCAGTGAGGTGAGAATCTGAGGCAGGAGGATCACAAGTTTGAGGCCAGCTAGGAAATTTAGTTAGACCCTGTCTCAAAAGCAAATTTAAAATAACTGGGGCTATAGTTCCTTAGTACAGCACAAATATACCCCCAGTCCAGAAAATTAAAGAATGAAGATCTAAACTATCTACACCTAGTAAATTAAAGACAAACAATTTCAGATCATACAGATGGTTCAACTAGGACCTGTCTACATCTCAGAACAAGGCTTATGTATGCATTTTAGAAGTTTCTTTCCAGGTTTAAGACCTCAAGAATACACACTGCCTTTTATGAAAACTCAACAACTGAGTGTTGTGAAGGCACACATCTCACAAGAAAAATTTACATACTCATGGGCTGATGATGAAATTCCCACATTCTTTATAATCCTACTGCCACTGTCTCTATCAAATGCCTAATACCTTGCTTAAATAAAAGCTTCAATTGCTTACTAGACCCTTAAAACAGAGACAAAAACCAAAATTCTTTAGCAAGCTATTAAATCATTAAAAAATTGGAAAGCCCCGGCCCCTTGTAATCCCAGCAACATGGAATGCTGAGGCAAGAGGAATGCAAGTTGAAACCCAGCCTCAGCAACTCACCAAAGCCTTAAGCAACGCACTGAGGTCCTAAGCAATCACCAAAGCCCTGTCTCTAAATAAAATATAAGAAACTGGCTGGGGATGTGATGCAGTTCCTCTGGGTTCAATCTCCAGTACCAAAACCTACCAAACAAACAAAGATATACATACAATAGCGACACTCCTGTGAAAACATTACTACCAGCAAGGATCACCAATACATCTTATTATACAGAAGATCACCACTGATTATCCTAAACACTTGAAAAATCTTAATTAAAAACAGGAGAAGACTGGGGTTGTGGCTCAGTGGTAGTGAGCTTGCCTGGCAGGTGACGTACTGGGTTGAATTCTCAGCATCACATATAAATAAATAAATTTTTTAAAATGTCCATTGACAACTAAGTATATACTAAAAACAAACAAAAACCATGAATGCCAGGCACAGTGGTAACCATCTGTAATTCCCTCTCAGTCACTTGGGGAATAAGGAAGAAAGACAAAGTTAGTGAGCAGCCTGGGCAATTTAGACCTTGTGCCAGAATAAGTAATAAAATCTACTGTGGCTAAGCCAGGCGAGGTAGTGCACACCTATAGTCTCAGTGGCTCCAGAAGCTGAGGCAGGAGGATTAACAATTCAAAGCCAGTTTCACCCATTTCACTAGGCAGTAAGCAAATCAGTGAGACCATCTGTAAAAAAATATTTAAAAAGGGCTGGGGATGTGATTCAGTGCTTAATTGCCCAGGGGTTCAATGCCCTGTATATAACAAAACAAAAAAACTCAATGGCTGTAGCTCAGTAGTAAAACTCTCCTAGATTCAATCCCCAGTGTCAAACACACACACACACACACACACACACCCAACATAAGAATGAATGTCTAACTTGTTTATAAAGTACACACTTTTCTAGCAACTCTGCAAACTGAGGAAGGAGGAATCAAAGTTTGAAACCAGTCTTAGCAACTGAGGGAGACACTTTCTTAAAATATAAAGCAAAAAAGGACTGGGGCTGCGGCTCAGAGGCAGAGCACTCAGCTGGCATGTGTCAGGCGCTGGGTTCGATCCTCAGCACCACATGAAATGAAATAAAGTTATTGCGTTCACTTATAATTTAAAAAAATATGAAAAAATAAAATAAATAGAAAGCAAAAAAGACTTGAATGTAGCTTAGTTACAGAGAATATCTGGGTTCTACCCCTAAATGCCCACAAGAAAAAAAAGAATGTTGGCCCATGAGTGCAGCTCTGAATTTAACCCCCACTCCCGCCAAAACCAGAGTACATATATTATCATTCATTAAATTGCTTATGTGGGCTGGGGATGTAACTCAGTGAAAGAGTCCTTGCCTAGCCTATGTGAGGCACTGGGTTTGATCTTCAGCACCACATAAAAATATACAAATACAAAACAGAGGTATTGTTTCCATCTATAATCTAAAAAAGTATTAAAAGTTCTTGTTTGAGTTATAAGAATACTAGAAAACAAATATCTTTACAAACAAGAATAGCCAGAACACAATGGGGGAAAATTCATTAGGAATAGACATGTTGGTGGTTGGTGCCTCCCTGCAAAAGAACACTAGACCTTAAACCCAGGGCCTCCACGAATGCTCAGCATTGAACGTATATCTCAGCAAAGAAATCAGCAATTGTTAAAAATATTAATAATTCAAAGCCAGTTTCACCCATTTAGGAATAAACTCACATGCAAGTTCTACAATTATAAAACTGCAAAACTTTCTTGAAATGAGAAAAAACATCACCCAACTTGAGTCAAACCTCTATTTCGATGAAAAACATGAGAAACACAAAAGAGGGCTGGGGATGTGGCTCAAGAGGTAGCGCGCTCGCCTGGCATGCGTGCAGCCCGGGTTCGATCCTCAGCACCACATACAAACAAACATGTTGTGTCCACCGAAAACTAAAAAATAAATATTAAAATTAAAAAAAAAACACAAAAGACAAAAGCCTACACTTGCACCCAGGGGGTACCAGCCTGTAGTCCCAGCTGCTCAGAAAGCTAAGACAGAAGGACAACTTGAGCCCCAAACTTTATCGCAAACCTGCACAACATAGGAAGACCCTCTGAAAGAAAGAAGGAAGAAAGGAAGGAAGGAAGAAAGAAAGAAAGAAAACAAGCAACAAATATGAAATAACTCTACTCCGGAGCTGAGGCCAAGGAAAAAAGTTGCAGTCTAGCCTGCTTCTAAATAAAAAATGAAAAGTGCCAGGGATAAAGCTCAGTGGGAGATCACCCCTGGGTCAATTCCCTAGTTTGAGAAAATAATAAAAATAATTATAATAATAATAATAAAACCATAGAGCAGTTCACAAAGAACTGGACAGGCTGGCATAGTGGCACACATGAGCTTGGGAGGCTGAGGCAGGAGGAGCACAAATTCAAAATCAGGTCAGCAATTTAGTGAAGCCTTAAGCAACTCAGCAAGACCCTCTCTCTAAATAAAAATTAAAAAACTGGCTGAGGATGTGGCTCAGTGGTTAAACTCCCCTGGGTTCAATCCCCAGTATCAAACACACACACACACACACAACACAGTGAATGTCCAGCTGTTAAAAAGGTACACTCCTTCAATTAATCCCAGCAACTCTGCAAAATAAGGAAGGAGGAACCAAATTTGAAGCCAGCCTTGGTAACTGAGGAAGTCACTGTCTTAAAATAAAAAGTAAAAAGGGCTTGGGATTTAGCACAGTGGCAGAGAATCTCTGGATTCAATGCCTAAACTACCAACTTAAAAAAAAAGTTGGTCGATGAGAGCAGCTCTGAATTTAATCCCCAGTTCC